GTAAACAGGTTTCAGATGTATTTAGTATTATGTTAAGAACGCTGAAAAATATAAACAATAGTGCGTATATTTACACACTGTCTTATTACTTTGTCTTCATACTGTTGTCTTTATGCTATTAATCACTACCAAGTTACCTAATACCTCTCGAAATTTTATGTATAGTAGCTAATATTTCTTTCTGTCATTTCTTTCACCTAACTGAAACGGTTGTAAAAGTTATCAAGTACACACACACACAGACTGAAAGACAAACACAAAAAACATACAGAAAATATTGCAAAAATTGTTCTTTACGACTTAGGAACGTGTATAATGTCAAGATTTGTACAAATCACGATATCAATTTTTGCTTACACACTTTTTCTACGTACTCCGTGATTGAGACATGAACTAGCTGGTATATCATTAAACCAAATATTCAGATGGTTTAAAGAATTAAAAAAAAATACTTTTAAAGCTAAAGACAATTTGCACTGGTGCACATTTAATCTACATTCTGGCAGCATGAAAACCGTAGCGGTACCTCTAATGATGAACTCTTTGTCTATGTAGAAAAATTCACTTCATCAGGGGCATTAACCCAAGTGTTTTACGTAATCCTACATAATTTAGCAGTCTTTTGGTGAAATGTTTTAGGTCTTTTTTTCTTGGCTATATGGCAGTGAAATGAATTTAAGAGTTGTGGTCGGTTTTAATTCAATTGATTCGTATTTACACTTGGTTTTGTTTACATGGTTCTACAATAAAATACATTTTACATAGTCTGTATTTGGTTTTGTCTGTTAGCATATGGTATATATATATAGTTGTTCTTTTTTTAGTTTTACATAAGAAAAATTATTCAGATCTATTAATTAAGATAGGTCTACTCTTTAGATATGAACCTAATTACAAGCGTGTTCTCAGACTGAAGTATAAACTATCTGAACGAAAATTACAATTCTCGAGGGTCTCGGGGACGTTGAATAGATGCTGAAAATAAAAAAATTAAAATGTTGATAAAAGCATAGAGTCTTAAATAGATCCGTATTAAAATTCCGCGAGAAATTCTTAATTTGGCGTTGAAATGTAAATTCTCCAAGCAAGAATCCTTCTCCAGAGTGAATGCCCCTTGATGCTAATTACGGAATAAAGGTCCTCTATACTTGGGTACGGGACGGCTAATCCTTGCCAGACCCTTCCGAGTCCGCCTCACCCTTCCCTTCCCACTCACCACCCCCACACCCGCTTCCTCCCCAACCCTGCACACACTCACCACACACACTACAGAGTACACACACTAAGCGGATTGACTTCTACTCACTACGTCACCGGTACATGCGGTCTTACGTAATGGAGAAAGCTTGTTGCTGGCGAAAGCGGAAATTCCCGTTGCTATCGTGCCGTCCTTGCTTTTACCGCGGATTACCGCCCCCCCTCCCCCCTCCTCACCCACCCCCACCCCCGAACAATTTAGACTGTCACATTCTGAGTCACGGGAACTAAATTAAGAAAGGCAATTAGACATAAGTAGAGATGATGTAGAACTAGATGTTTTAATTGTCTGAATCTCCGTATATGTCTAATTAGTTATAATTAATACAACTGTATCTGATATGTAAGTATGCTTACCATTAGGGATATGATGGACACAAGGCAGATGAAGTAGAGTTTACTTCGAGCCGTTACTTTGGTATATACATGTATAGTGTAGTTAGTAAACTGTAAGCAGCTTGGCAAAGAACTAACTAGAGAAATGTTTAGGGCCAATGGATAAAGTGAAAGTAGACATGAATGGGATTTTGGACATTGTAAAGTGTGTATCTATTGTTTTTGAAAAGGCGTTGAATTATCTACTGTTTTATCCCCGTTGTTTTTTATATCAAAACTTGGTTTTGTTTTTCTGTCTAGATTTAATATTATATCTGTTAAGCGTTTTGTTTTTATTTTTCTATCAAAACTTAGTTTAGTTTTTCTGTCTAGTCAAGGCTCTAGTCTGGAAACGGTATGTCCTTATCACACCCAGTGCCCTGGCACTAGATGCTAGAACTTTCCAGTACTTCCACCAAACGCCCCCGTCCAACTCTCTAAAATATCTCTCCATCTCTCCCCCTCCCCTCTCTCCATCTCCCCCCCCCCTACCCTCTCTCTCCCACCCAGATACAAGGTTCTTATCGCAACGTTTTTAAAACGGTTTTATTTTTTTAACCACCCACCTCTTTAAAGTGTGAAGACAACCACTGATCTGGAAAAGGGTATTTTATCGCATTCTACGCAATTACATTCTGGGATGGTTCAGTTTTATGGTCGCGATTGTTTTATTTTATTCGTTTTTAGCCCTTACTTTAGAGCCCTAACACTTTGTTTAGCTAAATTGTTTCTAAATAAATAATTCATTTATCGTTTTCATTATGGTAATGTAACCATACGAGATAATACTACAAAGACACTAATTAAAATGACGTATATTTTCGCGTGCATGACGATTTTGTTGACAAGTTTCTTTTCTCAAAACGAGGCAACTATTAAACCCCTGGGCGTTGTCTTGGAAAAAAGGGGGTGGGGGTGCGGTCGTATTAAATTAAAACGTTAAAAAATACGATGGTCGTATTGTGTTCATAGTTTTCTACACGTGAGTATGATCTGTACACATTTTTCTATACGGTAGTCATGATGTGCTCATTGTCTTCTAAAGCGACATTATTTTCTATTCAATTGTGTAGCGCAAAAAATAATTGGGATACGTTAACAAGTTCCATGTTGATGTTGACAAAGTACCGAAACATCTCTGTCGAGTACAGTCTCAACCACACCCCCTACCATAGATTACCGGCCTTATTTCTTTAATCCCCACTTGACCTTGCCCTACACAAGGATGGTACCTTCCTTAATTAAAACTGATGGATTATCAAATATTTCAGTTGTAAACCGGATCCCTATAAAATGCTTCAATTCCCTCGTCTACGACCATCCCCCCACCCCTAATACAACCTTTCCCTTTGTTTATTTGCGGCTCTATCATTAAAAAACTAAAACAAAACATGATTTAGATTATTCCATTTTTTAAAATATAATTCACGTTAAAAAAGATTTCAGTGTTAAATCTATTCTTAAATCAACCTTTTGGGGCGGCGTGGCCTAGTAGTAGAGCGCTAGACAGCTAACCTGAAAGTCTCGAGTTTCGAATCAGGGTTCAAGTCAGCAGAACATCCCTGAGTCCACCCAGCTCTGATGGGTACCCAACCCACTTTAGGGAAAATAAAGCCGGCCGTGCATAATGCTGACCACACTATTCCTTCATATACCGATGTCAGTGTAACAGATTAACTCTACTTCATATACCCCATATATCTTGGTCACGAACCGGAAAAGATAATGAATTTCAATCTTTACTAGGCGTTTAAAAAAAAAAACAAGTATCAAAATGGTGCTGTATTGTTTTGATAAAATATCATATACTGTTTTAAAATGCACAACCACGAGCATATGTAATGGTTTATTGATCCCAAGGACGGATATTTTTTTTCTCTCTACCACCAAACAGCTTGCTGAATTATCCCCCCGCTTGTTGCCATCGGGTATAATTGATACGCTTTCTCCTCGCTCTCAATAATTTATAAACATTAGGCCTTTTTTTCTATGATAAGGCTGACCTAAAATATGATAGAATAGGTTTAACTGGAGGGGATATCTAGGCTAAACATATTGGTTAAATATTTTTGTTCGAATTTAGACTGATTTCGAAACCTATGTTCAACTACATTGTGTGTAGATATTAATTGTTGTAATTTTGTTTTTAATAAAAGGAAATCGAAAGTCAAACTAAGCAGATGAAATCTCCAAATGGTTAAGTTTAGTAGTAATTTACATTTAACAGTAACAAAATTAACAGTAACGTTTCTCCATCAATATAAAGTTTGTTAGAGGGAGATCAACCGTGCCCAATTTAACACAGGTTGGAGATATTTACGCCTAGACTAAATTTGTTATAATCAATATAATTTTGAGGCTAGATCAGGTTCATACGAATTTGTTTTACCCCAATGGTGAAATATTTTGCTGTATGTTGATTTCTAGCATTAATTTTGGTAAATATTTTGGAATTTTCATTCATGAACTTGTGTCGGGTTAAAAGTAGCAAATAACCGAGTGTACACTGGATTTATTATAACGGATAGTTTCTATAAATCTTATGGGGGACGGCATGGCCTAACGGTAGAGCGCTAGACGGCTAATCCGAAAAGGTTCGTGTCGAATCCGTGTTCAATGCAGTGGAACGTCACCGATTCGTGCGCTGGGCACATGTTTGCCGTGGTCATTGAAAGGGTGTACTCTACTTCATCTGCCTCATGTGTATTGGGCACAAATGGGTAAAGAAATGTACAAAAACAAATGACAAATGATGCCTGTCAACACCCTAAAAAATACAACAAAAATTGTATCTGTCCTAAACAGTTTTACGTTATGGACTAATGTTTTTTCTTTAGTAATCGATTCACATGTCGAAGTTCAAAACACGAATACAATTCAAAACGCTATTAGTTTGTATTCAAATTGTCTACAATTTAGGTACCAAATCGTCAGGTAGCTCCTGACTGTAATTCACCTGTCAGTTAGTTAACACCCCAGGTGAATGACGTCACCTAAGAATCAGCACACCCCCCCCCCCCCCCCGCCCCAGACACCCTCTTCCGTCTGACACAATAAGACTCGCCACACCCGCCCCGATTCGTTTAAGTAATAAAAGGACTTTTTTGTTTGGGCCCGGAGTAGCGTAAAAGATCTGTATAAATTTCATTTCCTTGCCCCACGCGCGGGGGCGGGGCTTGCAAATGGGGCTGGGATTCCCTGCGGCGGTTCAAAGGTCAATTTGACTATTCCTAGAGGTTTTTTTTTTTTCTTTACACGTATTTAAAACTTTAGATTTAAAAAAAAAAATGCGTCGATTTATGATAAAATGTCTTTGGTTTAATTAATTACGTCCGCTACATAAGGTAGTGTTGACAGTTGACAAAGGGATGACGTTGCTATTTTTAGCCCTGTGTTTAGCAAGGAAATCTGGTTACCGTGAGGTAAGGGGCTTGGGAGGAGTGAATTAGTGCTAGAGGAGTAGATGAGTGTCTGGGTGCTCGAAATTAGGTCATGCTGTGGATGGTGTTTTGTTGTCTGGTTTTCTGAGCATGGAAAAAAAGGTGTGATTAGCCATACTGGTATTCGTGTAGCTAGTATCGCATAAGATTTATCCACATATTCATATCGCTAGTATCGCATAAGATTTATCTACATATTCGAATAGCTAGTATCGCAATTGACTTATTCACATATTCGATTTTATATTCCCTTCTCTAGTATCGCATTAGACCTCTTCATGAATGCACAGTCACTATCGCATTAGATTTGTCTAGATATTCGTGTAACCGAAATCGCATATCTATCCGTGTATTCGTGTAGTTAATATCGTTAATGTAAATTTCATTCGTCCCGCCCACATTATCGGTATCGATGCACCTTTTACGTATTCGACTAGGAAATGAGTAAAATTTCATTTCGAGATCTCTAAATATAAGGCGGGTGAGGGGCGGGGAAGGGGGGGGGGATAGATTTGTTTGTGTGGCCAGGGGGTACGGGGGAATGCGTGACAACAGTACACTCACATCTACCCTGTACGTATCAAGTGTTGGGACGACCTTGTGACGTCATGCAAATTAGCCTCTTGGACCAAGTAACGTCATACACACTGAAACAGTGTTTCTTAAAGACTTTTCTCCGGGGTGGGGGCACTTGAAAGTTTCGGGGCTGGGTGCCCGAAATCTAGATCTATATAGATTTTATAAGTTCATCCACATGAGGGACCAGGTGACATCATAAGCACAGGGGTATCTGGGGAATGCTAGACCATACACATTCGGCCTGCACGCTCAATGTGACGTCATCCACAGTCGGACTTGTAAGGCCCATGTGACGTCACACGTGTGGGGTAGCTTGGACTATGTGACGTCATATACATGGACCCTACCATATTTGAATTGTATTTGATGTAGGAGGTGGAAGGGGATCGAGCTAACAGCTAGAGATATATTTGAACACTAACAACTTGACTCCACCCTCTAGTGCTAGGTTATAGAGAAAAAACGGTAGAGTTAGGTCTAGCGTTAGTGATTGCTTGTTGGTTAATGTATCGTTACCGATTGTATTACAACTTTGAACTGTTTATTATGTAATGGTAAAAATTGCGTTTTTTCACTGTTTTATTTTATGCGTTATTTGGGTCCGTCGGCCATTTGGCGAGATGGGTTCTGATACATGAGTAACATTTGGCCTGTATCAACTTACGGCCCAGGCTTCGTGCTTGGATTTACAATGGGCTGTCATCCTATAGTCTATTAGACTATGGAGCCATACTATTGTATACGTATGTTAATATTATGATTTCTGTAACTTCTGTTACAACTTTTTGATTTCTCTTTAATAAAACATTTTTTTTTGTTTCGTTGACAGATCTTGGCTCAAGTGGATCTCGAACCCTCGTCTCCGGTACCCAAATCAAACAGCACCTTACAACCCGCGCCAAATATCCCGTCCACCGGCCAACTGGGGAGCCCGGCTCAACTGCTCAAGGAAGCTGGTTGGCCAGTGGTCGACTGGCCGGCCTCGGCCGAAGACCCTTCCCTCGGTTCCACGTTTCCAGAAGAATCCTGGCCAAGTGAGAACCTTTTTCACAGCGCTGACGTCTCGGAAGACACGCAGCCCGTGGAAAGTGCACCGGAGGAGGAGAAACGGTTCATGAAAGGCTTGAAATTCAACGATAAAAGATTCATGCGCGGACTAAAGCGGGACGCCGACTCGAATTTCAGCGAAGACAAAAGATTCATGCGGGGTTTCAGGAATTTTGACGACGATTTCTCAGAAAGTGAACTGGTTGATAAGCGCTTTATGAAGGGCTTTCTGCCTTACGATAAGCGCTTTATGAAGGGCTTTCTAGCATACGATAAACGTTTCATGAAGGGCTTTCTACCATATGATAAAAGATTTATGAAGGGCTTTCTACCATATGATAAAAGATTTATGAAGGGAATTGCGCCTTATGATAAACGATTTATGAAAGGATTCCTACCATATGATAAGCGCTTTATGAAAGGATTTATTCCTTATGATAAGCGCTTTATGAGAGGATTACGATCAGATTCAGACGATTTCTCAGACGACAGCAGCGAAGAAAAATACTTTGTGCCTCGATTAGATGACGATTACCCAACTTATGACAACGTCGACCCAACTAATCCACTAACGACCGGCCCGATGGATAAAAAATTTATGCGCGGATTAAACAAACGATTTATGCGAGGTCTAAGCAGCTTTGACAAGCGATTTATGCGCGGCTTAACGAAAAGATCAGCCTCACCTATCTCGTATCTCCCCACAGATGTCTCATCTAACGAACTCAGCGAACATTACAAGATGGATTACGACAACGAAAACACCGGCGACAAACTCATGTACCCCGACAGCGCAGAGAAGCGGTTCATGAAAGGATTCCACTCGTACACGAAAAAATTTCTCCCAGGCGGCACCGCGTCACAGGAATCGGAGTACACACTGGATAAAAAATTCATGCGCGGATTACACAAAAAAGATGACGCGTTCGGCGGCGACGAGGAAAAAAGGTTCATGAAAGGGTTGGTAAAGAGAGACGACGATGAAAACGTAATCGACGAGGACAAGAGGTTTATGAAGGGGTTGGTTAAAAAAAACGATGAAGAGGATCTAGAACTAGTTTCACACAAAATCCCGGTGACTGAGTTTAAATTTTTTTCTAAGAATCACACTAATGACGAGTCGCTTAATGAAGATAAACGATTTATGCGAGGGCTGGGTAATTATGCCAAGCGGGACAATGAGGTTACTGACGAAGAAATTAATGGCTCTGAAGATAAAAGATTTATGAAGGGGCTTGTTAAAAAGGATAACGATAAAAGATTTATGAAGGGGCTTGTTAAAAAAGATGACGATAAAAGATTTATGAAGGGGCTTGTTAAAAAGGATGACGATAAAAGATTTATGAAAGGGCTTGTTAAAAAGGATGACGATAAAAGATTTATGAAGGGACTTGTTAAAAAAGACGACGACATCGAAATTAACGATAAGCGTTTTATGCGTGGTTTGATAAAAAAAGATTTCGATGATGAAATGGACGATAAGATGGACGATAAAAGATTTATGCGAGGCCTAGTGAAAAAAGAGGAAGGGGGCGACGATTTCGTCGATGACAAGCGATTTATGAAAGGGTTGGTTAAGAAAAGTGAAAACGACTTGGAAGAAGAAAAACGATTTATGCGAGGTTTAATTAAAAAAGACGACGACAAACGGTTTATGCGAGGGCTCATTAAGAAAGACGACACAGATTACGACCACGACGATAAAAGATTCATGAAAGGGCTAATAAAAAAAGACGACAAAGAACCGGACGACAAGCGGTTTATGCGCGGACTGGTCAAACGTGACGTCACTCTACACCGCAGCAGACGAGACATCAACTTCCGTAACTTCGATACCGACGGCATTCTTGAAAAACTCGCCGAAGAATACGCAAATTCCGGACAAATCCCGTGGAACGATTTCTTCAGAAAAGTCAATGCTGACGAGCAACCCATGGATTCCATCAGAAGCAAGAAGAGGTTCATGCGAGGGTTTGACGAGTTCTTGAGCCGAGACTACGAACCCGGAAGTCCTGACGACGACGAGGTAGAAGAAGACGACAATAACGACGACCATTCAGAAGTCGATAAACGATTCATGCGCGGGTTTCATTTCTACGACAACGACGACGACACGCAAAAACGGTTTCACAGCGGGCTGAACAGGTACGCTCCTACACGCAACGCCTACGGTAAAAGATACAACATCGGCGGTCAAATTTCCAGGTACAACGGAAACGTACAGAAACGTCGTGTTCCGGACTTTGACGATTATTCCCGACACGCCACGAAAAGATTTATGCGCGGACTGCGATACTATCGAGACGAAGACGAAGATGATTTGATCAACGACAAGCGCTTCATGCGAGGTCTGGGTAACTTCGAGAAAAGATTCATGAAAGGCCTCCATCATTTCGAAAAACGAAGCGCCCCCCAGTTTCAGAACCACAGCGTACACTACAAGACAGGTTCGAACTCCGAAGAGCCGTCACCGCCCCATTTAACGAACTCTGAATCGTCTAAACTACCACCACACTTACACCAACCCGGAAATGGGTTGGAATTTCATAAAGCCTTGCAGGATGTCAACCCTATTTCGGGTTGAGAGGGTCATCCATTTGTGTAGTCTTTAGGAACTAGTTATCAGCGAGATGTTGTGTCTTGTAAAAAAAAATGTCCAATCGCTGATGTTGGAGTGAGCAGTTAATCTAAAAATAACATCAGGTTCTAAAAATGTGTAAGCTGTAAAATTTCAGACTTTTGTTCGTGAAGCTGATTCTATTTTGTTACACCTGTTTCCGGTAGAGAACACCACCACCTTATTGAAAGTATAATAAAAGTAAAAACTATACATTGTTTCGTTGTCTTTGTTTGATTTTAGTTTTGTGTTGGTACGGAATGCTTGAGAAATAGAGCTAACAGCTGTCGAAAAAGTCTCGAGTTCGTTTTTGCATGAAATTATGATAGGCATCTGAGACTAGGATTAAAGATGGCGTTTGGGATTGATGCTGAGGATACACAAAACAATCTGCTAAATGGGACGGATGAAGTAGAGTTTCTTTTTTAGTGACTTCGGTATATGAAGGGATAGTGTGGTCAGCACTGTGCCGCCTCAATTGTCCCCAACGTTGAGTTAGATACCCATCTGAGCTGGGTGGACTCAGAAAAGTTCGACTTGCACCCGGCTTAAGTATAACTCTGTTTTCAAAGAAATAAATACACTTCAATGATGGAAGTTTATATTGTTTATATTGCTGACACAAGAGTAATTACTTATTGCGTCATAAAGTAATTGCACAGATATTGTTTGTTTAATTATCCATAACATTGGTACAGTGTTTTATGAAAAGAAAATGTTAATAATAATTAAAATTTATGTTAAGGTTTGAGCAGTTAAACTATTAAACTGACATTATAAACTTAAGGGAAAAAGACAAAAGGTAAAATAAAGGTATAAATAAATATGCTATAGTATAACAACTGTATTTCAGTAAGAGGTTTCTTTATAAGCTATAATACGATGAAAACACTCAAAATAATAGCACACCAAGCTAGCACTTAATCGTTGAGTAGTAATCGACGGTGTGGGTCAAGTCTATGTATGAGTCCAAATAACTCTTACTGGTATCTGACCATCACATGTCCATGAGTCTACTCAGCTTAATTGGGTACCTGACCACTAGATATCCATCAATTCATTCTACTGGAATCAAAATATTAAATGATACTCTGTATACTGCCATTGTGCAACTTATACAATCCCACGCATATGCCAAGTTCAGCACACACAGAGGGAGAATTAATCACCAACCTTACAACACGACTGAACATTTTTCTTTCAATTCCTTCAGATGGAAATAATATATATTTTTTATGAAACATCATATTTGTAGATAATCGCTTAGATTCTTCACAAAAGATAAAATCTGATGGCGCGTTATTTTAATTACTGGACGCTAATGCTGTCTCTAAAGAAGCCTTTGGTAAATAATTGATGACAATCTCCTAGTCTACACTGGGTGGACCTTTCTGCACTGGGTCATTTTACAGCTGTCCTTGAGGGGGACAAATAACCCGAGTAGGCAGGGGGGGGGAGGGGGGTAAACCAAGATTTGTCTAGCACAGATTATTATAAGGCAGATTGGTTTTACTGGGTGCTGGGGGGAAACACAACCTCTGTATCTATTGAAGGTGGGGGAGGGGGTGGGTGGGGGATATTATGATGTGGGGGAGAGGGTGGGTGGGGGTATTATGGTCTAGGTGGGGGTATCAAGGTGGGGGTATCAAGATGTGGGTGGGGGTATCAAGATATGGGGGAGGGGGTGGGTGAGGGTATCATGATGTGGGGGAGGGGGTGGGTGGGGGTATCGTGTGGGGGAGGGTATCATGATGTGGGGGAGGGTGTGGGTGGGGGTATGTTGTGTTTACAAAAGAAAGTCTTAGGACTAGGATGGTGTTACTAGTTTATTGATGTATTGTGAGACTGCCACGTCTACTTAAGAGGTGAAGTGGCGTATTCTTACTAATCATGATTATCATCAGCAATTATCTTCATCATGATCATTATCATCATCATCAATTTCATCCTCACCTTTAAATACTCATCACTACCATCACCATCAGCATTATCAACCTCATCATTACCACCATCATGATCATCACCACACCCCTCCCCACCAGCAACCTCATCACTTCCCTAGGGTTAAACCACTACTTTAAGTCCTCTGCTCCGAACTGTTGGGTATAACCAGATGAAGTCTCTGGATAGAAGAACCTGGTCTAGTGGTAGAGCTTACACGCCAGGGTTCGTGTGCTCGTGAGTCGACCTTGAGTTGACCCTATCCAGTGTGATAAGAACTAACTCGGGTCACCGATAGTAGCAGTGACTACTCACCATATCATTACTTCTGCCCTTATAAACACATTAACTCTTCTTCATTGAACAGACAGACTACTAATCCTAAATTATGTCTTACTAATATAAAGCATTTAGCTGCTAACTAAAGAAGGTAGTATATGATTAATATGTTTTTAGTAGCGAATGATTTCATTGTAGAGGCCCATTGTAATATATATTCAAAACATGTTATGTTTGATTAAAAGTAGGATTGTCGAATAGTGTGTAAGGAAAGCACAACCAAGTCTAATAATATAATTATGGGAGAAAAAATGCCATCCACATTTAGAAAAAAATATAGTAATCTAGAAAGAAGGTATCTAGATAAGGAAAGAACCTTAGTGTTGGATAATCGCATCATTGAACGTATAAAGTATAAAGGACCCATCCAACTCACACTGGTATCTTGCATGGACGTATTTCGTCACTAGGTGCACTTAGCTCTAATAGGTACCCAGTTCTAATAAGTATCTGGTAAATCTTTAAGTCACCACTGAATAACCCAGCTCGTATGCCTAAAATTTAAGTTGGAAATTAAGATGGCTGTGCTCAGACTCAGAGCCAAAGACTATTTCCTTTTTACGAACTGTCTTTTACCCATGGTCGGTCTGAAAGATGACTCTAACTATTTGACTTTGGAAAACTCAATGTGTCGATGTGATCGACGTTTGAACCCTGTATCCTCTACTGCACTAACTTAAAGGTCTAACTGATCACACCACTCATCTCAGTGCTGTCATACAATGTCAGCGGATGGTGGATGCCATAGTGCTGATTACATTTTTGACAGCTGACCATTACACAATGTGACGTCACATCATTACACGATCTAACGGTTCAGGGGTAAAAAATAAATAATTTTTGGAACAAAATAAAAAAAACTCAGAATGATTTCTAAACAACATCCAAAAAATTGATAATATAAATAAAACCTAATTAAACCACACGCTAATTAAACATTGATTAAACGAGCAATGAACAATGAAAATGATAGCAACAAATAACAAGAGATAGCGACACAATAAGATTATATCTAAAGCAGCCCAGGAATGTAACTATGGATATTCAAACACATGTACAGGTAGGCTACTAGTCGCACTTTAATCATTGATACGTTGCAAATACAAAATTTATGTTACAACGGGTTTTAGTTTGATGGCGTCGTTTTAAAAGTTTATTAAAATCGTTCTCCATTTACATACATCTAATTAGTGTAAGTAAAATTAAACGAAAGGTTTGATCCACACATACATATACTTACATATATAAGCAGTTTTTTGATAAAATATTAAAGAAGCTCGTTACAGATAGTGTGTGACATTATTAATGTGTTTACACTTTTAAAACTTCAACAACGTCCCATTTTTTTGTTGTTTTTTTTCTCTTTTCAGTCTCTCGGTTCTCCCCCTCCTACCCCTCCCTCTGTTGATGCCAGCACTCTCCGCACTTTCTCCCCTAAATGCCCCCCCCCCCCCCCCCCCCCCCAAAGAAAAAAAAAATCTCAATGACTTAAAAGCTAAAAAGCTATCCCAAGAAAGAATCTGGTCGTTAAAAAAAAACCGGGGAGATAATCACTTTCATTGAATTTAGTGCGGTAACTTCCCCTTGTTTTGGGGTACACATCTCTTCCTCCGAGATTATTTTTAGAACATCCGGTAGCCGGCACCACGGTTGGGTAGAGAACAGATACCGGATATTACATCATCATCACGTTTCAGTTTTAATCGACATTCTGGTTTCCTGACCTGCGCACCGTTTAACTGATTCCAGATGAGGGGGTGGGGGGGGGGGTCTTTGGGTGTTTGTGAGTGGGGTGTGTGTGAGTGGGGTGTGTGATTGGGGTGTGTGATTGGGGTGTGTGTGTGGGGTGTGTGAGTGGGGTGTGTGATTGGGGTGTGTGAGTGGGGTGTGTGAGTGGGGTGTGTGATTGGGGTGTGTGAGTGGGGTGTGTGAGTGGGGTGTGTGTGTGGGGTGTGTGAGTGGGGTGTGTGAGTGGGGTGTGTGATTGGGGTGTGTGAGTGGGGTGTGTGAGTGGGGTGTGTGATTGGGGTGTGTGAGTGGGGTGTGTGAGTGGGGTGTGTGTGTGGGGTGTGTGAGTGGGGTGTGTGAGTGGGGTGTGTGAGTGGGGTGTGTGAGTGGGGTGTGTGAGTGGGGTGTGTGAGTGGGGTGTGTGAGTGGGGTGGGGTAATGTGTGTGTGTGTGTGACTGGGGTGGGGTGTGTGAGTGGGGTGGGTTATGGGGGTGTTGGGTGGGGTGGGGTGGTGTGTGTGTGTGTGCGTGGGTGTGGTTTGGTGTGTGTGGGGTTGTGTGTGTGGGGGGTGGGGTGAGGGGCGTGTGTGGGATGTGTGTGTGGGGTGGGTAATGGGGTGGGTGAGTGGGGTGGGTGAGTGGGGTGGGGTGTGGGGTGGGGTGGGTGGGTTATGGGGGTGTTGAATGGGGTGGGGTGTGTGTGTGTGAGTGAGTGGGATGTGGTGTGGTGTGGTGTGGTGTGTGTGGTGTGGTGTGTGTGGGGGGGGGGGGTCGGGGTGGTGTGTTTGTGGGTGTGCGTGTGTGGGGTGTGTGTATGTGGGGTGGGTAATGGGGTGTGTGAGTGGGGTGGGATGTGTGAGCGGGGTGTGGTATGGGTGTGTGTGTGAGTGGGGTATGAGTGTGTGTGTGTGGGGGGTGGGGTCGTCAGTTGACAGGTACTAAAAATACTTTAAGGCGCACGTCAATCACATCTGTGGCGATCTGACAAGATGATCCAATGATAGATTGCCTTCAACTCCAGTTATTTCCCAGAAGGTGAGTTTTCTTTTTAGATTAAGTTACCTGATTAGCAGTTAACGTCAGGGACAATGTCATGGTAAAACAATACCTAAATGTTAAGTTTCGTAGTATGTCTAAATGAATCTTAATAAGAGGATTGGTTTGATTTAAGTT